TGCTACTCGCTTGCTTTGGCTCGGCCTAATTACTCTTTTCCTGTCTGTTTTCTACAGCTCCCTTCCTAACTAAAATAAATTTAAAACAAAAAAAACTAGCATTCTATATTCGCCATCGTCTCACAGGGCAAAATGAGCTGCACAGTTACGAGGACGAGACAAGTAGTGCTGAGTATATACGGTTCTACGAGGGCGATGAGAAAGTATTTTGCACAGAGGGTTCCCGGTTTTAAAACCCACTGCAAAAAGTGAAGTACGGGAAACGCATTTCTGAGGTCGGACGCCATCAGGTACATCACCCACAGTGGAGTCATCAATCACCAGCGCGCAAGAACAAGCGTGCATCTACTCGTGGGTGTGCACACGTTTTGCGGGGACAAGATGCAAAGCCTGAAAACACAGGACAACCATTTTTAACAACTGTTTGTACTTACTGAACAAAGTACTAACTTCTAACCTTAACAGGGACTTCCTACTGACTCTTTCCATAACTTTATGAGCATGCATTTGTCAGTGAGTGACCCCAAAAACTTAGATAACTGGGGATTCCCCCCCGTTCATTGACCAACGCCACTCTTAGGGACTGTTTTGCCAAGCGACAATGGACACAACCATGACAATGCGATTTCACATCAAGCAGATGAGGTAGGGATGTGGGGAGTACAGGAATATGACCTGGGTCTGACATTTCACTAGGATGCTCATTTCAACCTTGGAGCCAACTAACGTAGAGCAGCTGTCAAACTGACTGCCACGTCAGAGTATTGGAAGACTCATGTGCCTCGCAATTAAATCAAAAAATGAAAAGCTTAATTGTATGTCTCCCTCCATGTCATCTCTCGTATCCTTCTCTTTAACCTAAAATGCTGGAGCATCTAAAAGGGTCATAGTGGTAACACTCGCTGAAGCAGAAGCGAGGAGGGACTGACAGAGGGCCTTCTGCAAACCAATTTTGGCTACATCCCTTTCCAATTAGTAGCGCAGAGCATTTGAACAGAAATGCTCTATAGCTTGATAGTCAACTACGTACCCCACAGGAAACTGGGCAGCCTTACTAACACAAACTGTGTTGCAGCTCCCCAAGCGCACAAATCCCTAAACCCGCAAGCAGGTTCCCAACACACCAAAACAGAACATATCACACAATCCATGCATAAACAGATCCCACAGTGGGCATCAGGATCCCAAAAACAGTCCACCCCAGTGATCAGAATATACCAAACCAAGACCACTGCAAGACAACAACCACAAACCTTGTTTAAAGGGCAATTAGGAGCGACTCACAAATGCAGTTTAATGATTTCGTAACCGACTTTCGAACAGAGCGCCGAGAAACACAAGACGGGAATTAGGCGAGCCGCTGCCCGTCGATAATTACCCAGCATTCCTCTTAGAGAGAAGCGACCTCAGATCGATGAGCCACCATCACCAGAATTCCTTCTGCCGCCTGGGAGCGGAGCAAGATTCAATCGGACAGGGAGTCAATTAAGATCCCCATGACCGAGCAAAGGATTTGCGAGGGAGACCTTCCGACAGACCGCATTTCCGAACTGGTTGTGAAGAGCTGCTTAGTCTTCATCCATGCCTTGTTCAGCTGGACAGGCAGAGCGTGAGAGTCTAGACAAGAAGTAGAAGTTTACGCAGGTGGTTACAGCGGTCATGAGGGTGAATATCAACTGGGGCTCCAGGTCTCTGACCCTGGGCATGGAATCGTCATGACCTCAGCTTATGCATGAGCCTTCAGTGGAAATCATGTACTTTCTTGGGGGAACAACAGATTGAGTGAAGGAAACAGAATGGGAAGATACGATGGCAGTACTACGGCTGCAGTAGTAAGAGGGATGAAAGCGAAATTCAACCCATGAACCAGTACTAGACACAGAAGCGAGAAAGGGAAGGCTGCGTTAAAGGAACCAGAGCCCCAAAGGCTTCACAGATTCTGACGGGTCATGCAGAGATCTAAATGAAAGACAGTCGTTAAAGGAACGTAAACGTTAACAAGGGGCTAGCATGGCAGGGAAGGCCTCCCGGGGGTGCTTAGCAAGGTTACCCTGGTAACTGGAACCGGATGCCGCAAAGACAAGAGGGAACAGGTGAGCGAGGGAGGGAGGGAGGAAGGGAGAGATCAACCAAGTGAATCGCAGACAGATATTGGGGGTTAAAAAGGCTACAAAACACGGCGCCTCGAGGTTCTGCCTGGTGACCCGGTTTTTCAGCTGACCGATTAACTGCTCCACCGCAGCCACTGAATCCATTCACCTCTCCTGAACCTCGGGGTACGAATCGGCTGCTAATTAAAACAAACCAGCAGCCCTAGGGCGAGGGGTGGCATCCTGGACTGGGCGGGAGAACTCAGCAGCTTAAGCCTTTCACTGACTTTACAGTGGGCTCCACTGGTGGGTTGCCAGGCAACCGGCAAGGCCACTGGGATACAGGAGCAAGCCGACTGCTAGGCTGGTGCAGGCTTTAATAAGAGACGCACCAAAAACTACACCGTTCTCATAGACGGGAAAAAGTGGACTTCGGTCGGTAGTTCTGGTCGATGTATCAGAAGCACGGCCGCGGTGCTGCAGGACTGGGATAATGGCTTCCGCAGAGTCCGCTGGCAGAGGGAGGCATTCTCAAGGACTGCGAGGTGACCCTCCCAGCAGCCTCCGGCCCACCTGATGCTGACCCCCAGGCTGCAGTGACATTCTCACCTTTTCCAGGGAGCAGCAGAGACTGAGGTGAGCGCGGTTAGAAGGTCGCCAGCTTTTAAAAACAGATCCTGGAACAGACAAACGGAAGCGCTGGCCCTCTCTGCCGCCGCCCCCTTCCTCCAGGCGCCTCTGAATGCCTGTTGGACGTCCACTCAGCAGCTGGCGGTCGTTCAGGCATCCTAGCTACTCCTCGTTCGAGGCTTTCCGTTGGGTATGGGAAGGCTGGCTTCAGGTAACGAAAGCTCATCAACGTGGGTCTCATGGATACAACAAAGGTGCCTTTTCAGCTGGAGTCCACCAGATTTTATCAGCATACCACTGGAGGAGACAGGGCATTTCGTTGGCGCTCCCCATCTTTCAACACCACAAAGCACTATTTATTGCGTGATGAATCAATCAGAAGGGGACAGCTGACTGACAGCTCGCCACACGCCTCTCATGTGGTGCGTGCGTCGCACATGCACGCTGGCTGTGGTAACTGTGGGGATGGGCGCAGCAGCATACAAGTAGCCCAGCGATGGTGCTGATTACAGGACACGTCTAAGCACGGTAGGGACCCTGGGGAGGCATTCTGCAGCTGCCTTGGCACCTGCACCCCCTCCCACCCTCCAGGCCTTCATCCCGGCCCAATTAGCTTGACTCTGAGGAACCTGCGTGAGGTGGCCATCTCCTGAGGGTCCCCCAGCTGGGTTGCAGCATCTGCCTCGTACTCATGCAGGTATTGCGAGGCTCCAGTCCCCTCCCCGGCTCACACCCCCACACTCCCAGGCCAGAGTTCAACGGGACAGCCGATAACCAAGTTGAGATGTTGACTCCTTCTGACTACTTTCTGGTGCAAGCTGGGAATATAGGTGAGCACGCTTTCAGTTACCCAGACCCTCACCCCACCTCCTCCTCAATCACCCCGTTTTCAGGAGAACCAGATAATGGCCACTGGCAGGAAGGTCAAGAGCAGCGTTCCTCTCACTGAGCCGTGGGTGCTCTTCAACAGTGTTTCTCAATCCTCCCGGCTGCCAACACACATGTACCTGATAATCTGTGTTCTTGATTGGCTGGGAGCTGGGAGGGAGCAAAAATGTGGACTGTCTGGGGGTATCCAAGAACTGGGTGGAGGAACACTGCCCTGGACGTACTGCAGAATTGCCTTTAAAGGGCAGGGGGGTGTCTGTTGGGGGTCTACTCAAGATTATCCCATTGTGAGATTATGACTAATATTACCATATAGGCTTGAGCGGCATCTCATTTTTCATAGCGTCATGCCTTCCAGACATTACAGCGCAATACATAGTTATGACAATATTTTCAAAAGCAATGTTATTCCAGTATTTTGAAATCTGGGCAATAAAAGCAGCAAGCGACTGACATTCAAACATGGCTAGAATTCGGTGTTTCCCAACCCAGTCCTTGGGGACCCACAGACGGTCCACGTTTTTGCTCCCTCTCAGCTCCCTGCCAGACAGTCGCATTTTAACAGCCTGGGAGGGCACAAAAACAGGGACTGTCTGTGGGTCCCCAAGGAGCGGACTGGGAAACACTGGGCTTGATATATGGGTTAAGACCTAGGTGTTTCCGCATAAACTCACATACTAAATTAATAATCTTTTTTTTTATTATTATTTCCCACCATGCCAAGCCTATGCATGACCAGGATGTAAGCAGAGGAAGGAGTCATGGGACACAGAGAATCAGAGAGAATATCTGACTGCCCCGACACCCACATCTCTGCAACTAGACAGAGACTAAAGGAACCAGTAGAACCGCTGGATTCAGGCAACACACACACTCACGCACGCAAGAGGTCCATAAAGAGAGACATACACCAACGCTCCTCTTTGAGATCCAACTGGAGGCCAAGCTTCTTTTGTATAAAAAAAATTCACATCTGTAGACAGTGTCTATTAATGACAATGAATAACGAAGAAGGGCAACAAGCTTCTTTGTTCCCCTGAATTGGAGGTTATGTTTCTTTTTTTTTTGGAAATGTACCCATCATCTCCCCTCTGACATTAATTTGCACTTCTCTCTCTCTCCATTTTCTCTTCTCCTCCGTTCTCATTTATCTACTTTCCTCACCTGTCATGTTTCCACTCAGGGCATCGTATTGCCTCCATAGCCGCCGTTAAAATTCAGAGTAAATAGTGCCACGCTGATTCTGACAGGCCAAGCAACGCCACAGCCCCCAAACCCCCCAGCTTGCACATCCCACCACCCTTTAGTCGAACGCACCCCTCCTGTACCCCACACCTCCTCTCAATCCTCCATCGCCCCCCCCCCCTCCGTACTCTTCTGGAATGCACTCACCCAGATCAAAGACCCTCGGACATCTGTGTAGCCCGGTACTGCCAGCACGCTGCCAGCTGTGCGAGACGCGTCTGTCCGTCCGTGTGTCCGCGGGGCTGCGGGGACAAGCAGATGGGAGGCTTCCGTCACATGGCGGGTCTCCGCGCGCCTCCAGGCCTGTCATGCCCAGAGGCCTTCACCGCCCCCAACAAACCTCCATTCCTCCCTTACCCCATCTCTCCTATCGCCACGGACTGACAATCAATACCAGCAGGATCACTGCCACGGCGATTTCAAAGCCGAGTGTGTGTGTGTGTGTGTGTGTGTGTGTGTGTGTGTGTGTACCCGTACGCATCTCTCTGGTGAGCTGAAACCAGGCCGATGCAAGAATCGTTAAACAGGCATCTTCTCACACTGTATGCTTTGATGAGACATGCTCTTCAAAGGGGGGGGGGGGCGCAGGGACTGACATAGTTGCCTTCCGCAATAATCTAGTGGAAAATCCTGCCGATAAACATGCACCCCCGTCGGATACATTCCAACATCCCATCAGACCCCTTCTCCAATGAAGTCCCCGCGTGAACATGGCCGACAGTCCTCTGCAGCGCATTATTAAGCAGTTGGCCAGAGAGCATGCATAAACACAGACGCACTCCCAAAAAAACTCCCAAGTGCCCACAATCCAGACATCATGTACCGAGCTCCGCCACCAAACCATAAGCTGTCAAGCCCATCAAACACTCCGCACATAATTACATTACTAACCCTTACATATTCAAGTTCAGCTCTTTGAAGATGAAAAACAACAAATAATCTGGCAGACCATCCAGTGGACGATTTGGTAGAGCACCTTCCTGAGCTCCTGAACTATAAAAGATAAACAGCTGGTCTCCCGGCCAGACCTGTTTGAAGTGAGCGGCCTTCGTTCCATGCCTTTCCTCAACGCACTCTCTCATAAACCTTATCTCCTTGGAGCCAACAAGCCCATCCACTCAGATAAACGTGCCTAAAGTCAACGACAAAGCAACATCCCGGCGTAAGAAGAAAGGCCGTCACGCACAGGCACGGTTATGGGGTTTATCCCAGCCTGACTTTGCACAAGCCTTTCTTCCGTTTTGTTTTATGCTCTGGCCCATTTCCCTGGCCAAAGGGAAGATTGGAAACCTAAACTGGATTCAGCCTTAGCTCCACCGTCAACAGCCTTCGACCCGCTAACAGCTTCAGATGGCCGCCTCAAAGGCTCTGAGCAGGCGCTGAAAAGAGGCTCACAGTTTCACGATCGACACCCTCAACACGGACACTCGTTCCTTGAAGACGACCTCTTCGGAGTGCATCCGCGGTCGAGGACTTGGGGGTGGGGGGGGGGAGGCATTGGGTTTGAGAGACAAAATGGAAAAGGGAACGAGTAAAAGGGAAAATGGAACGTGGGATCACAGGGAGGATGAAAGATGAACCAGTGCTCAGCAGACTGATGAAAGAGCAAAAACAGCCACCCGGGAGAAGAGGGAAAAGAAAACAAACAAGAGCTGAACTGGAGACAAATTAAGGAGAAGCTGGAAAGGAACAGAGAGGGACGAGGTGCAGTATGAAAAGGAACATCAGCCATGATTCGGGCAGGAGGAGCTGAAGACGGTGATGTGGGCTGGTCAAAACAGCCTCAGATTTCCAATAAGGCGACCATTTATGGAGGCACCTCACTAGGGAGGTTACATCAAGCGCTTGACTGGGCTGCTAAAGAACCACTAAGACAAACTGTCACAATTAGAGCACGACTGTCAGCACGGCGGTAATGGCTACAAGTGCCCCCCCACACCCACCCCCACCGACATCCACGCCCGGTAATGAACACAGCGTGCCTCTCACACTCACGCCGGGGAGGCCGGGTGGAGGGGGGTTAGGCAGTGAGAGCAGGGGATGGGCGGCATCTACAGATGCCACGTTCACTGCTGTCCCAGTCTGGGTTCGATAAGCTCTCTCCAAACACCCGACCTGCTATACACAGAGCAGGTGCTGAACACTGCCGGCCATCCGGATCTGGGGATGCTCACACGCTGCCCTTCGCCATTCGGCACACTGACAAAGTGAAAAGCCGCCACCCCCCCCCCCCATGAAGCGGAAACTAAGAGTTTCACAAAAAAAAAAAAAAAAAACACACGTTTTCACCCAAAGGCTGTCCTCATGCTGCGATTCTCCAACTGCACGTTTTATTATTATTTTTGTTATAAAGAAAGGAACAAGAAAAAACATGCGCATGTTCACAACTTCCCAGCCCGTCAGCTACGAGAAAACTTCAGATCTTTCTGGGACAGGGAATTAATCCACTTCACCGGTACACGGAGGACTGAAGAACTCGGCGTCAAAAACCAAAACCGTGTTTAAAGAGCTGCAGTCAAAGTCTATGCTGTCCAGGAGGTCCTCACACTTACAGCAGGCTGTGTTCCTGGAAAAAAGTCCCCGGAGTTCAAACGAAGCAAAATAAAAAGTTAAACAAGGCCGACACCTAACTGCAATTGAGCAAAAATGCAATCGGCCATTTCACAGACTCTTAGCAAAATCCACATTAAGCCAGTAAAATATGCATGTAAGTTTGCAGATGAAGTGAACTTATTTTGTCATTGATTATTGCTTTAAGGACTACCGGTGCCTACGTTTCATATTAGATGTATCTGGGCTGCGGCTTCCCTTCGTCGCAGTTTTTCATATCTTTTTTATTAATTTCATTGCGTGAAATTGTTCTCCGAAAAATTAATTGAATTATGGAGAAGCCACGGGGTAGATGGGGCAGGAGGTGGGGTGCTGAAGTGGGAGCTCACGGGGAAGGACACGTACAAGGGCTGTATTCCCGCAGTGAAGCTCGTCACGAGACGGCCAACATGTTTGGAAAACTTGCGAAATTCACAACAGGTGGGGCAGAGGTAGAGGGCCGCTGAGATGGTAGTCTGGACAGCCCTGGGACCGGCCCGGCAGGCTGCCCCAAAAGCCTCTCCCCGCGACTCAGTCGGTCGGCCTCAATCCTGTTCCCATGCTGGGGGTGGGTGCCCCCCTCCCCAATGAGGTCTACATCTGAATTGCACTGCGCTCGTTAGGCAGCAGCAGCCGTGCCTCTCACGTCACCCCCCCACTCGAGTCATTTGCGTATGCAAAAGCACTGCGAAAATGTCAGTGTGTTTAAACAACGCTCATCGCCATAAGAAGTCGGATAACAGCAGCGTAAACTGCCACGCAAATGGATTCCCCGTCTGGGTTATGCAAATGAGACTCCGGGGGGGGGTCGGCTCACGAGGGCACGAGTGTGTGTACGCGTTCACATGCATACGCGCGGTGTCCCTCCCCATATCAACACACCACAACCACCTTCCCCCCCCCACTGGAAATAATAAAGCGAAGCTGTGATAACTGTCGCGCCAGATCTCGTCTTCAGGGCCCTCAACGCTCCCCCCACGCGAGCCCCCCCCCCCCCCCCCCCCCCCCCCCCCCCCCCCCCCCCCC